TATTGCCATAAGCACAAAAAAAAATGAAAAAAAAAACAATTCAAAGTATCTAAAAAAATCGTATTTGTGGTTTTGTTATTTTAAATCTGGTTTTGGCTCTTTCTTAGAAGAGATAATACAGATTCTGCATTTTGTTCTCTATTTCTAAACAAATAAACAAACCCCAGAAGGTCAGATGTTTGCGCAAMTGCCCGACTCTTTGTGATCGTCTCTGCCTCGAGGAGCAAATGGCAGCCGGAGAAGTCAAACCGAGGTCAAACTTTCTGCAGCCCCCGCGAGCTTCTTGTTGCGCGCGCGAACATGTCGGGGTCTGCAGCGGAAGGAAGGCACCGGTGGGCTCCCTCCGGTTTGTGTCGCTGCAGCTCCGGCGGGCAGAGCTGCCGTGATGTTTTCTCACTTCATTCTCATTAAAAGGAACTACTCTTGCGTTGGCGCTTGTCAGAGCTGCAGAAACGTTTCAAGTCCAGGAGGTAAAGAAAACGAAGCGCTCAGTTTTTCTACAAATAAAGTTGGCGAGTTGGTTTCAATGAGGTGCACTTTGCTGACAAAATTATGCTTTCTTAAACTATAAAACAATAAAATTACCTCAAAGGTAGATTTGGAGAATTTGGGAGATGTATGTTAAACATTTAGAAGCTGGAATTGATAGAACAACATGCATCCTGTAGTTTTTATGCATTAATTTGCAAATATTCTGCTGCAACTCAACATTTTGGTGATTAGTTTAACATTTTATTTTTATCCTGTGTTCATCAGGGGTTACAGCTCTTTCCTTTGGGACTATCTTCCCACTCCTGCTGAACCCTGCAGTTTGGCCCAACTGAGCTGAGCTGCTTTTTCCCTTAATGCTTAATCATTTGCGCCTTCTACCGGTTCTGTTGGAAACTGCAAGAAAAAAAAAACAATGCAATGATTTAAAAAGTTTTCAGACTCAGATAAATGAGATAATTGCACATTCTAAAGCTCACAGCATCAAGTCACAGTTAATCATTATTTGCTTTTTTTTACTGTTGTTGCAAAATGCTTATTTTCTATGACTGAACTGATTTTTTTTTATTTTTTTAACCTTTCATATGTCAGTAAAGATCAAACTGCATTCATCTTTGATTGAAGAGATGTTTGTGCCTTTTTACAAACTACCAATAAATGTTCATAATAAAGTATTCTCATTTCCTTAATATGGGACATAATATTTTAT